ACAAACTGAAGAAGGCCTAAGGAAACTGTGAAGAGGTCTCCGCTAGCGCCTCCCTCCTCCCGCCAGCAGCAGCTGTAGCTGCTGCTGCTGCTGCTGCTGCTCAGAAGCAACTCCTTGTCTTCCTCCTTAGGACTTCTCCCCTTCACTCTTGCGTGCTCCTGCCTTGTTTAGGTGCACAGCAGCAGGTGGAGGACCCTGTCGCTGCTGCTGCTGCTGCTGCTGCTGCTGCTGCTGCCTGTCTCCGTGCGGCGTTGCACCGCCGCTCTGCTCACGCGAGGCAGCTTCGTGGCTTTTGTTTGCGTTAACTGCGTCAAGTATCCATCTTCCATTTTTATTTTTTAGTGCTAGCTGCAGCTGCAGCACCAGCGGCTGCTGCTGCTGCTGCTGCTGCTGCTGCAGCCGTTGCTTCGACTCAAGTGGCACCGAGTCCTAGCCACCACCGAAGCACCAGCGGGTGCTGCGTCGAGGTCTCGGGGCATAGCAACGCCACTAAACAAGTAACAGCAGCAGCAACAGCAGCAGCAACAGCAGCAGCAACAGCAGCGGCTAAGCAGCAGCGGCAGCTAGGGAGGAGCGGCGGTCAATCGGCAGCAAGAAGGACACGTTAGCAGCAGCAGCAACCCCAGCAGCAGCATCAAGTCCAGCAGCCGCAGCAGCTGCAGCAGCAGCAGCAGCAGCAGCAGCAGCAGCTTAGCTCCTAGTATTTGATGAAGGGGCGCAGCGCAGCAGCAGCAAGGGGGNGCAGCAGCAGCTTAGCTCCTAGTATTTGATGAAGGGGCGCAGCGCAGCAGCAGCAAGGGGGGCATGGCCTGTAGGGCGAGCTGTCTTGCTACCTTGCAGCAGCAGCAGCAGCAGGGCCCCGTGGGGTGCTGCTGCGCAGCTTTGTGAGGTCTCTGCTGCAGCAGGGGCTGCCAATGTAGCTGCTATATATACGCGAGCGACGGATCGCCTGGTTGCTGCTGCTGCTGCAGCAGAATGCGGCGGCACCCAGCTCCACTCATCCCTGGGGCTGAACCAGTGAGCAGCAGCAAGCAGCAGAAGCTGCAGGCTGACCTGTGCGTCGCAGCAGCAGCAGCAGGAGCAGCTGCTGCTGCAGCAAGTGATGCAGAAACGCCTGCGGCTTCACCAGCAGCAGCAGCAGCAGCAGCAGCAGCGACGAAGCAGCTGCCGGTTGAGAACCTCTTCTTGGGGCCGTCCTTGCTTCCTGCCGAGGCATGCAGCAGCAGCAGCAGCCCGAACAGCAGCACAGAGAAAGATGTTTGCTTTCGCATCAACAGCAGCAGCAGCAGCAGCAGCACATTGGCCGACACCAATGGCAGCAGCAGCTGCAGCATGCTGCTCACAGGCAGCGGCACCGCAACCACCTGGGCGGGCAGCTGTTCTGGCGGCCTAGGGCAGAGCAGCAGCATCAGCAGCAGCAGCAGCAACAGCAGCAAAGTTGACGACGACGGCAGCATCGGTGAAGTAGAGGATGGCGACAGCTTTCCTTGTCTCCAGCAGCAGCAGCAGCAGCAGCAACAGCAGCAGCAGCGGGTGCTGCCGCACAGAACTTGCATGCTTCCCCCCCTATACCTTCTGAACCAGCTCATCGTTGGCCATGTTGAGTCGAGTCTAGACGCTGCTGCCCCGCAGCAGCAGCAGAAGGAGCAGCAGCAGCAGCAGCAGCAACTGGAGACCGAGAAAGAAGGCAGCAGTGTTCCTAGAGACAGCTGCAGCAGC